TTACACACACACACACACACACACACACACACACTATTTGATACCTTTAAGTGGGATGAGTCAGCATCACCAGCAATCCCTGCATTGGTCATTTCCCACATCAGTCATCACCAGCCCTCTGCATTCACAGCCATGAACATTGTTTTAAGGTCAGCTCTATGGCCAAGCACAAATTCACAGCAGTTCCTTTCTTCCACAACATACCCTCTTGCTCAGTGAATGCCGAGATGGACAGAGGGAATGGCTTGAGTCATCCAACATCTCCGAACAATAATAGGGGTGCAGCAGAGTTGTCATTGGTTTCAGAGCCATAAAAGAAAATGGAAGTACCTTGATCTTTTCATACTTTCGTTCTCAAGATAAAAAGTTTCAGCAGAATTTAAATAAGTATATATTTCTATAAAGCACTTTGTCAGTGGCTGCTCTAAAGTATCACAGCTGCAGGGAGACCATGCCAGAGACTGCAAGTAAGAATTTCTTCCCCATATGATTTTAAGTAGCAAAAAACATTGTTACTATGCTTCACGTCAAGTTTTGACAGGCATCTGGCATTAGGAAACACATAAGACTCAGCAGTGGACACCTGTATGGCCAATGACAGAAAAGCTACCACAGCACATAATCCTGTTCGTAAAGGATTTCCTCTAGCATTCTTTGCACAAGTTGGGGTTCAGGGTCTGGCATTGCTTTTTATGCTTATAAATAATCCAATATTTAACACGATTGTGTCTCCTCTATTTATTCAGCAAAGCCCTTCCAGTGTCCACTGCCAAGTTTGTAAGGTGCTGTTAGATACTGTTTCACAGAGAAATGTAAAGGAGGATGGATTTTTTTTTCCAAAAGTTCCATTCTCTCATTTGGCGGGTGAAGAATTAGAGGCTACCCGTGCCACAGGTTGGCCAACCCTGCTTTAGAAGATCTGTTTAAAGATGAGATAAGGCAGTGAGGCATAGAGCAGCCAGCTCCCTCAGCCCTATTGCCACCACCCTGATACAGGTCTAAATGAAAAGCTCTAATAGAAGCCATGTTGGGAACACTATGATGCCATCCAGTCGTCATATTCCAAAACAAATGTGGAAACACCTTAGAACTGAAAAAGAAGTTAAATTCCAAGAGCAGTGTTCATTTGTCTCAGCTGTGCATCAGTTCTTTCCC